CCTGGTGTGAGGCCTTACCCTACCTTTCAGGCTGCAGGGCAGTGCAGGACTTACTCACCAAATAACATGTCTACTGAAGTGAGCCATTTAATAGAAAGTTCATTAGGGAGAAAGGTCACCATGCTAATTTCTTTAATAAATCCAATAAAATGACAGACGTGTTTGTTTCTGTATTTGAGGAACAGTGCTATATCTTCACGTGAATGTCACAGCATCACGCACTTTGCTGTCACATGAACACAGCAGGATGAAAACTGCCTTCCATCCAAGGCTGTGATTTTCCCACATTGCAACAGTTAATATCCTTCTGCTGTTTTACCTCTTGAATTTCTATAGCTTGGGCTTAGTCACTGAATAGTGGTGTTTTTATTTATGAATTCAGGTGGGAGGAACAATCTCTGTGAAGTTTAAGCAATTAAACTGCTTAAATAGCAGGAGATGTGGCTGCTGTGCACACTTCCCCACTAGTAGCTTGTGCTTTCCCTGTGTCCAAGGCCTCTCCTGCAGAGCAGCAAGCCCCTCTGAATGGCACAACACAGGTTCCCTGTCAAAAGTACGCTGAGTACCAGAGACACATGCCGTTACAACTGTTGGTTCACCTCTCTGTGTATTTGGGGACTTCCTGTGCTCACCTTAGGCCCTTGTTCCCTGCCTTGGGAAACAACAAGGTTGCCTCTGGGGAGGCTAAGTGCAAGGTGCTTGCTGGCCTTCTCAGCACATGTAAAGCTCATTTCTATTGGGATATATTGCCATTTCACCAATCCAAGAATCATAGAATCATAAAGGTTGAAGAAGACCTAAGAACATCTAGTCCAACCATCAGCCCATCCCCACTAACTTTTTTTCCTCAGTGCCACATCCACAGAATTTTTGAACACCTCCAGGGATGGTGACTCCACCACCTACCTGGGCAACTTGTGCCAATGCTTCACCGCTAAAAAGAAATTTTTCCTAATATCCAACCTGAACCTCCCCTCGTGTGATCTCCTCTCATCCTATCACCATTACACATAGGAGAAGAGTCCAAACCCCACCTCACCACAACCTCTTTTCAGGCAGTTGTAGAGGGCAGTGAGGTCTCTCCTGAGCCTCCTCCAGACTGAAAAATCCCAGTTCCTTCAGCTGCTCTCCTTAAGACTTGGGCTCCAGACCCTTCACAGCTTTGTTGTCCCTCTCTGGACACGCTTCAGAGCACCAATGTCTTTCTTGTAGTGATAGACCCAAAACTGAATGCAGTACTTGAGATGCAGCCTCACCAGAATTGAATACAGGGGAATGATCACCTCTCTGCTCCTGCTGGATGCACTATTTCTGATACAAGCTAGCATACCACTGGCCTTCTTGGCCAATTGAGTGGCCTGCTTGTGCCTATCCTTATTACGTGTTAGCCTTGCTATCACACAAGACAGACACAGGCAACAACTCTCAGATAACGCAGGCAGAACCAAATACAATTGATTACAAACACAGAAACAAAATCCTGATGCACTGAAGCTTTATCCTTCCTTCCTTCCTTGTAGCTTTGCCTTGACCTCAGCAGCCAGGGAAACAGATCATCTTCAGAAGCATGCTGCAAAGCGATGCCACAGGCAGATTTACTGAGGAGTGAGGTCTCCTCGTGATGTGCACCCTCATTCCTTTTAATTTAAAACTTGTCATGTTATGTTAGCCTAGCAGTCCTGTAAAGCTCTGGCTTAATTGAGCTGACTGAACCTAACACTGACTTCATTTACTTTCTTTCAGCTCTCATTATAAATGGCGATGAACTCAGATTCCACGTTCAGGTATGTGGATGCCTATAGAACATCCCTTCATAAGGACATAAGAGATCACCTTACAATTAAAAAGGAATGATTAAATAGTTGTCTGTAATGAGCTCACGGTCATAAAGCCTTCATGAAGGCAGATACCTACCATTCACATTTATACTGCTACAGCAAACTGAAGCACAGGGTGTCAATGCTAACAGTGTTTCTGGCCCAGCCGGCTGTTGGGCATTGATGTATAAGCACTTGCTTACATGAATATTTTGTGTTGCTTTTAAGCGAGGTTCATTGCTCAAGCTATGGCTGTGCTTCAAGAAGGGCCATTAGCAATGTGGGAGAAGGCTTCCCTTAGCTCATACTTGTCGTTTAAGCCCACACCTGAAGCAAGATACAGTTCAGCCCCACAGTTTGCAGAAAACACAGACCCACATGGCAGGCATACCATCACACCACACTATGTCTACTCAAGGTGCATGCACTTTCTCCCTTCGTGAAACAAAATTCACATTTTGCTCACATTTCAGCCCCCGTTGAACACAAGAATAATTATATCCAGTGCACGTGCAGTGTTTGACATTTGTTGAGTACATCTCTACCACTGACAACACTAACACATTTCTAATATATATTCAGCCTTTTAGCAGAAATGATACATCAGATTGTCATAGAGATTAATGAGGCTTGTGGGAGACCCACCTAAGTGCTTTTAATGCAACAGAAGCAAGCTTACAGTAGTTTACTGTTTGTATAAGAAAAAACATATTTCCTTCCTGTCATCTTTGTTATTCAACCAGCCTTGTACTGTGTTAATTTACAGCTTAAGATGTTTTTGAACTTGTTAAGAAGCACATTTTAATGTGGAAGGATGTAAGTAAGTCAAAACATGTTAATATTTAAATAATAACAATGCTTGCATTTTGGCATCATCACATGGGAACACAAAAGGATAAAGTTAACCTTTGGAGCATCTCCTGCCAGGCATTAATAGATAGGTCAGCTCGATTGTTTTAGAATCATAGAATCATTAACGTTGGAAAAGAATTCGAAGATCATCCAGTCAACCGTCAACCCATCACCACCATGCCCACTAACCCATGCTGCCCAATGCTGCATCAACCCTTTTCTTGAACATCCCCAGAGACAGTGACCCCCCTAGGCAATCTGTTCCAATGCCTCATCACTCTTTCCAAGAAGAAATTTTTCCTAGTATCCAAACTAAGTCTCCCCTGGTGCAACTTAAGGGGATTACTATAGGGCCATTCAGGTGATGAAAAAGGCTTCTGTGAGCTGGGGAAGGCCTTCCAAGGATGACATTCCAGCTGTGGCTTTCCAATGCTGTTGTCACACTATGCAAACACCACTGGATACAGATTTTCTTCCCTGGAGCACAGGCTACTGTTGCCTATACAGGGCATATTAAACATACCATGTAGGTGTTGCACAAGCATACAGTGTTTTCTGTAACCTAGTGAGGCCATTAGAATGCCAAACCTAATGAAAGCACATTTAACTAAGGAATGTAGGTTTGGTGAAAGAACATTTCTCAGAGGCAGGGTCTTTCTTACACTGCAACTTACCTTATTGCAACAACCATAGATGTAGATGGAGAATAAAGCACAAGGATCAGAAAAATCATCCAGGCTCCTGTACTCTTTCAAATGGAGAGACAAAGATCATCCAGCTCAGAGCTGGCTTCTGCAGGCTGCATACTTTTGAATGGTGTGGGGCAGGCTAAGAGCCTCTCTTGCCTACATGGCAGGTTCTTCTAGCTCCTCCCACCTATCTGATAAGAATGCATGCTGTTTTGTTTGCACTAAGTGCAACTTCCTAGTCTCTGTTAGGAGAAAGTGGCTGCTTTTCATATTTGTGTTCTCCAAGATGAGGTTACCTTAACAAAAGGAGGCATAATATGCCCAGTGTGCAAGTTAGGTTATATGTTATGAGCAAGTTAGGTTATATGTTATAAATTGCACCAAGCTAAACTACTACAGCTGCAGGTTGAGATCTTGCCCTAAATACACCATTTCAAACACCTGCTCTGTACTGAGCTATTTCACCTCAGTAATAGGAAGATAGCTCTAAGCAGGTAGCAAACACCAAAGTAAAGTGCTCGACAAGAGCAGAGTGCAAGAACCAGATTGCCCTGGTTTGTTGAAGAGAAGCTACAAATGGGGGAAGGACCTTTTTACAGCAGCTGCCATAGATTAGCTCAGCCCTAAGCTCATGTGGTGACCTTTACATCATTTCTCACTTGTTACGCTTTGCAGTGCTTTATCAAGCTTCACCAAAGCTTGAATTAAGTGGGTAGGTATTTTTCTCACATTCCTGACAGGTAGGCTGAAGCTTAATCTGGGATGGGAGAATCACCCTCCCAGTTTACACACCAGTAGAAATTTTTGAAGCAGTGTCATTGTGTTGAGCCACTGGCTCCAGGGCTAGTTAGTGGGCAACTAGCTGCCACTGGGGGTCACTAGGTTCAGACACACACAGGGCAGCATGGGGCAAACAGAAGTCACCACTACTTCTGTGTAGGTCCCTCACAACAGGTTATTAGCTTTCCAAATGTTATGTCTTCAGGCCTTCTTGGAATTCTGTTATGAATTTTAAAAGCTCACAAAGTTATCCCATTTCCCTTGCTACTTGCTGAGAGGAAAAAAAATTGATTGGGATTTGCAAGTGAATTTTTAACAGGAAAGAAACTTGCTGAGAAAATAGCGTGCCCCCTGAATGTATGTGTGATGTGCAATCTGCACTAAGGGTCAGGTGAACTACTCTGGTGAGCTCCTGTGGCCAGATGACTGCACCAGCAAGCAGTGCTTCTATTGGCTCTCATAATCAACTATTTGTCCAGTTTGCATTCCATCAGAGATGAGAATAACAAAATCCTTGAATTCAAACAAGTGGTATTAATGTCTGGAGCTTTCTGGAACACCTCTTCTGTTTCTTCTAAGTGCTTAAAACACACCTTAGTTTGCAGTGTTTTGTTTGATGTAACATCAGTCAGCACAAAGTAAAAGCTGTTTTCACCTCTGACAGATTTTCCTTTCAAAGTGAAGAACTCTCTGAGGATTGCATTGCTGTCATGAAGACTCACTGTTGGTTCTACCAACTTTGGCTGGGATGGAGTTACAGGCAAGAAAGACTGAGCCATCAAAACATGTCATTCTTCAGCATTGTACCGTGCTATAAGAGGTTCAAATTGCTGTTCTTTCCTTCAAAAAAATGAGGCCAATATGTGTTTAAATGTCTTTATTCTTAGATCAAACAATGTCATCACTGAATTGAAGAACGAGATTACTGGTTGAGATATAAGAGAAATGTGAGACAAATACGGAAGATAACACTTTGCAAATAAATTAAAACAGAATAATTGTCTTTGCATAGTTCAGAAGTGAAAAGTAGGAGGCAGCAGTGCGCATGTGCTGTGAACTGACACACAACACCACGAAAACCCAAGTTCCTAGATGAACTCCTGTAGCCGCAAATAAAACAAACCAAACAAAAAATACCCCACACCTCAGAGCACTAACTATTAAAACCAGGCAGAAAGAGAACTAATGAGCTTTTTTTTTTTTTTTTTTTTTTCTTTTTCTGTTGTTGCTGAACAGACCATGCTGCAGGAGTGTTTTCTCTACAGACAGAGGTGCTTTTAGATAATCTGCCTTGGCATCCCATAGCCCGTCATACCCGACTGTGAGGCTCCTTTGTTGCTGCCCATCTGAAGGCCTATTACGTTCTGTCCCTGACGAAGCTGCTCTTCTGAAAACCCCCGTCGATTCTGCTGTGCTTTCCTGTACAGGTGCATACAAAAAAACAACACAGACATTCTGCATATGTCCAGATGACTGTGAAAAGCAATCTGAAATTGGCTCACGTTAACAGCTCCTCCCTTGTACTGCTGTATTTAATTTGCACCATCCTCCTGGATGGACAATACTGGCTGGGCTAATTGCTTTCCTGCAGTTAGAAGTGCTCTCTTCAAACCCACACCACTTCAGTCTTTCGCTGTACCACCTACTCACAACCTTCAGGATCATAGCTTGCGCGGCAACTATGATAGGTAAAATATTTATGTAGCGCTCTGTATACCACTTGTGATAGAGTTTGTATTTTGTCCTACAGCTCTCAGAAGCTGTAGTCTACAGGATCTGATCACTAAGATACTTATCTGTTCTGTAGTACAAATTGATATCTGTCTACATCAATGGTATACATTCAACTCAGTGGAGTCAGTGTGAGTGCAATGTACCCAGAGAAACAAAGGGACAGCAAAGTGGCTTGCTCATTTTCACAAGTGTGGATGATGGTTGCCTGCAGGACAGAACAATTGCCCTGTTGCCATTTCTAGATCTCTCTTCTCTAAAGCAATAGACTTTGGCCTTTGCACCTGTGTCTTAACTGTATGACAGTCCTTTATCTTCTGCCAAAACATGCTGACTACTTTTGCTTGGCATTAGCAGTCTCAAAAGCCATCCAGATCAATGAATCTTTGTTGGACCTTAAAAAGAGCCTCTTTTCCCTGAAAATAGCACTGGGGAAAAAAAAGAAGCACAAAAGTTTGTACTTGATTAATCTTTCATTTACACAAGATGGGGAAAACAAGTCACTTACAAGGGAGAAGGATCAATCTGTTACTGCTAAATAAATGGCAAGAACCTACAGTCTCAAAGGGAGGGAGTCTTTCAGCCAGCTGCCATCCAGGTACAATCTCTCTGCCACCTGTGTCTGTTTGTCCTGAGATCAGCTTATCTAGCAATATGACAACACATTACAATTCCCTTTTCTCCTCACTCCATCACAAGATGGGAATGTTAGATTGGTTGCCTGCTGTGACTGAAAGTCACCAACACAATCCTCTGTGAGGATCTGATCCTGTGCAGTGGCTGAGCTCAGGTCCAGAAGAGCACTTCAGATCTCTCAAGAATGGATCCCACGCCAATGTGCAGATGAGTACGAGGGCTTATAGCAACCCACCACAGGCTCTTCTCAGAAAGCATGTGTATGGGAACTGTTGAGTCACAGCCTGAACCTGACTGATCATCTGGGGAAAGGACCAGGTCAGCCCTGGGAGCACAGGTGAAGGCAATTCAGCTGTATGACCAGAAGGGGTGGAGCCTGGCTGCACCTCTCTTAGACCTCATTTAAGAGCTGACTGCCAGAGGGGAAGGATCTCTGGTTGGAGATCTCTTCCTTGTGGAGTTTTCCCTGTAAGCCTAGATCTCTGGAGACGAGGGGAGTATTCTTTTCCTCTTTATCCCTTTTGCCATTTTGCTCTTGTACCTTACCACCGCACTAATCTTTGCAACTTTTCCAACTGCCATTTTGGAGGCAGGCACCCAGAGTTTTGGGCACCTCATACAGCAATTCTATTTCACTGCTGCAAAATTTCTTTTCCAGAACCCTTACGCGGGCAGCAAAGCACTGCCAGTATCTCTGAGAGAGGATGTTTTTGGAACTACTCCTATTACATAATTGAATCTCAGGTTCACTGTGACTGTCTCTATTTTAATTAAAATCCCAGAAACATGATCTACCTTTTTTTCCCCTTGGACTTTTCAGCTGTGCTGTGGAGTGAATCCAAAGGAAGTTGATATGTAAGTATGACTAAGAAAGAAAAATAAGAACTGCACAGAAAAAACTAAAAAAGAGACCAAGGATGTGTTAATAAAAGTTGATTACTTGTATTGTTTGGATCACGTGGTGTTATTTTTACAATCATAAATGCTGCCCTTAGAATATGATAGTCTTACAGATAACAGCAGGTACTTGTGATTTGCTTTTAGGCTGGTGGAAGCAGGCATAACAAAGGCTGTAGAAAAAGAGGTGGGAGCATCTCACACTGCTGTAAGTTGTGTTTGACCTGTTTGCCATCACTCAACAACACTTTCTCTGCCACTGCGCAGACTTATTAACTTTTCATGCCAACTTTGCACCAGAGCCAGAGGCTTCCAACTCACAGATAACAAACAGCAGTGGATCCATGAGCCTCACCAGGACACACAGTGAAACAGCAGACAGGCCCGATGGGAACAGGCATGCAAGACACAGGATATGGAAAGTTAAGCAGCTTTGCCCATATGTGGGGATGTATTGATCACTGCTGATCCCTGCATGGATACTCTTGTTCCTTTTAATCTTGACATCTTTCGGTTTATCATAAGGTGATTAAGAATCAGTCTGAATGCTCTGACTCATGAATAATGCTGGGTGACGGGGAGAGGGCTCCATCTGCCTGAAGGGGTGGTAAAGCTATTCAGAAAGCAGTTCCCAGTCTGCCATATGTTATCTCCTTATAGAAATAACAGTTTTCCTGAAGGCAACAGCTATGAAACAGTCTTTCAGGGACTGCAGCAGACGCAGGCTGGCTGTCTATCTAGCCCAGACAGGCCGGGAAGGAGGGAGATGATCTTCAAGTATGCCAATGAAAACAATTCCATCCACAATTAAGAGCAGATATGAAAATTAATTTTTCAGTTGTTTCCATTTGTTATAGTTTGTTATAGTTACGCAAAACAAATAAGCCTGTCTGGGTCATGGTGAATTCATGTCTGGTTTAAATTAAAGCATGTAACTGGATTTGAATTAAAAAACCTATTATATTCAGGAAGTAAAAATCTCTTTGTGGTCTGTATGAAGTAAATTTAAATGAATGCCACATGAAGAATGTATAGGAGTTGACACTTGCTCACCTAAACTTCAGGTCTCCTTTAGCCTCTGTTAAACCACTTCAAACTTTAAGATAAGCAAAGTTTGCTTGCTGATCCTCAACTAATCATCAGAAATTTCAGGGAAACCAATGACCAGCAGGCAGCACTCTTTTCGTTAACATGCCTCAGCTGTTTTAGCATAAGAAATACTTCTGGGTAGAGGAACCTCATTTCAACACAGTGTCTGTGAGCTAGAGGCGTTACTGTAGAAGGATTTCCTTTTTTTTTTTCTGCCCTTCTTCTCAGCCTCCCTAACCAAGGCAAATGGGGCGTTAGAGCAAATAAACATCTTTTCCAAGACAGAGAATTCTCTGCAGATAAGTGGTACTCCACAAGAAAAAAAAAAAAAAAGGCTAAGAAAGAAATCCAGTAGGATCTCCATATGTGCGCATATGTCCAAAGCAGGGCAGCTCAATAGAAAGGGGTGCCTGCAGGTAGAACTCAGAGCTGCAGCCGTGGGTGAGCTGCTGCTCAGTCCTGGCACCAATAGCACTTTTCCAGCTCCAGGGCAGGAGAGATGTGAGGAAGAGGACTACCTGGGAAAAGGCAGCAGCATGGAAACACTGCATCCCTCCTACAGGGCTCCTGCTCAGCAGCCCTGGTTTAACTTCTGGCTGACATGATGTAGTTAGGCACAGGCCAAATGATGCTGATATGCTGCAGCAGCAGAAAGTGCTGCTGCCTGGTTGGACATTTGATCCCCTTGTCTAGACTTCAAAAAGGAAATCTCTTCACTACAAGGAAATTTTGCAAAGATTCTTCCTTTCCTTCCCCAGTAAATTTCTTCGAAGGCCAAGAACAGACAATAATACCAGCTTTCCATGAAAGTCAGCTCTGGGAAACTGTGCCTTGGGCATTACCTGTGAAACCAGGATGGATCCCCTTTGTAGCATCCATCATCCTTGGTGACTGCCAAACTGCCTAGAGCCATTAAGGTTCTCTGCACTGCTGCCATGTCCTTCCCTGGAAAGGCAAACAGCAAAACCAATATAAGAAATCCTCACATAACAAATAGCTTGGCACATTGATCAATGCCTTCATCCAATGCATTAACTGCTTCCCTTGGCTACTCTGAAAAAGTACACTAGAAGCATTGTAAGTGCTATTTTAGAATTGCTCAAATTGAAGTGCTGACATGCAAGAGATTATGAAAAAGATTATCAAAGGAACGGTGTTAAAGCAAAATTCAACTATTTGGGAATTTTCAAGTTTCAAAGCTATTTTAATGCATTCACCCTTGCTATTTTAAGCCATTCTAAATTTTGTGCTAAGAGAACACTTTGGCGTAAAAAGAATGATAATGTGCTCAGTAAAACACGGCTGAAGGAGAGCAATGTGACAAATAACCGTGCTGTGCCTCTGTTGCTTCACCTGCAAACTGATCCCATCATGTAAGCACTGGCAGTTGCAGACAGTCCTCATGCTGACAGAGTTCCTGGCAGTCCTGGAAAGGACTTGTGCAGATTAACTTGCACCACCCTTTCCCAAATTACCCATCAAATCACTTCCCAAATCCTTCCTACTGGCTTCCCTTCACATGCTGTCAGAAGTCGATGCTCTTCAGTTGCTGTCATCCAGTCCTAATTTACATTATTTTTCTACAGTTTCCCTCTTTACCTTACCACACTTGATTCCTCATTTCAAAATGCTAGTGCTCATCTCCCCTTTAGCCAAGTAAAGTTACCATACCTGGTCATCACTACTTGTTAACGTTCTTCTGTAAACAACAGAGAGAGAAAAAGCTTCTCAGGGGATAATTTCCCATCTATACTGTGAGGTGATGGACTTGTCAATTACTTGCCTAGATGTATGCTTTCCATCTGCTTGAGAATTCACCAATTTTCCAAGACGGCACCTTGAAATATAAGGCTCATTTCCAAAAGATGTTGCTATTCCTGTTGTCAGTATTTGTTTTTATTTTAAAAAACAGTACCCACTCCTCTGATCTTTCCTTCCAAAATTAAGGTAAGAAGTAAATTTTCCTTTTGTATCAACATCTTCTGTTTATTTCTCCACTAATTAAAAAAGAAACAAGTGAGGGGGGGTTTTGTGCGTGTTTTTGTTTTGTTTTTGAAAAAATGAAGGATACTCCTTTTTTTTGTTTGTTTCTTCCCCTGCACTTGGCTACTAGGCCTGAAAAAAGCAGAGAACATTAGGCAAGCAAGTAGAAACAGGCAAATTCTATCTGATTACCCAACTCAAACACAATGACATTTAGAAAACTCTCTAGCAAGTACTTCACTAGGAGCTGCCACATATCTTTGCAATGGCGTGAGCTGATTAAGTTTTTGGAAATTTTGTTTCATATACCTTTTTTTTCTTCTGAAATGAAAATGGAAATAGGTGTTCAAGGCAAGGGTGGACAGGGCTCTGAGCAATCTGATTTAGCAGCTGGCAATGCTGCCCGCAGCAGAGGGTCAGAACTAGATGATCTTCAAGGTGTCCTCCAACACAAGGCATCCTAAGCCCTGGAAATCTTCCCCACGCATTCCTTCTGTTCCCATTCTTCCTTTTTCCTGAAATCACCTTTCTAGTTAAAGGAACTAATTTTGAACACAAGTTCTTCATATGGGGATATAAGTTCCTCACAAAATCATGTGATGCTCAAGATATGACTATGACAGCAGACTCCAGAAATGCCTCCTATGGAATAGTGTTAATGAAAAGTACTGTAGACCAGTAGGAGTGCACAGGAAAGGAGCTTAGCACATAGTGTATAAGCATCACCCTGATTACAGGAGGATGAAGCTCGGGGCTCTGGTTCACACAGACCTCACTGCTTAAGGCCCTGGCTAAGGTGAAGATGACACCCTAAAGCTGAAAATGACTTGCGGCTTCCAGCTGTGACTGGCACACAGGCCATTACAGTTTACAGGAATCTTCTCTGCAGGGGACCATTTGTACAGAAAACAAATTGTCAGCCATCCGGGATCCTCCCGTGCCCGTGTTTGTTAACCAGACTGTGTCAGATGGTCCCTGCTTGAGGGAGGGCAGCTGAGGGTCGGCCTCTTGCACAGGCACGTACACAGGGAGCAGCGTGGGGCGGGATGCTCGGAGCTCCCCACAGCAGCAGATGTACCATATGCCTCAACTGATGCCACAAATAACCTCCTTGGGATGCCCATCGTGGTAACAAACAGGGATGAGGAGAGATGTGGAAAAAGGATTTAAAAGTGAATGAGCTGAATAACGACAGCAAGCACGTACACACAGATAAAAAAAAGAAAAGAAACAAAAGACGGGTAGCACAATATATCCCGCTGGGCCCAGTGGAACCATCTGGCAGCCCCTCCTATGTTCTGCACTCAGCTCTGCTTCCCTTTTCAGTGGCGAGGGGAGAGGCTGCAGGGCAACTGCAAGCGGGGCCCAGTGCTCCTGCACATGCATTGGCCACTCAGTCAGGGAAAACCCCAGATGTGCTTCATCGTGTGGCATCTAACCTCTCATCCTTTGCAGTAAGCCCTGTAGAGAATCTTGGCATGGCATATTAGAGGAGGCGGGGGGCTCGGTCACATCTCTCCCTTTCTCTCTGGGGAAATGTGGCCAGAAGGAAGGGCTGAGACCCACAGAGGAGAACTGCTCTGAACCATATTCCCGAGACACTTCTTTGTGCAGGCTGGGCTATAAACAGAGTTATATCTGCCTCTTACCTCTCTGGAAATATGGCAGGGAGCTATCTGTAAAACAGCAAACATGCTCTCTTGGGCATGGACTAGGAAAGGCTGCTCACCTTTCTCTTCCTTTAAGAAGGACCAAAGGAGAGGTGACACCGTTGGGAAATGCACCAGATGGACTGAGCGAGTTTGAAGCAACCAACAGCAGATTGCGTACTAAAACATTTTCTTCAATCATTACTAAGAATCTCAAAGCAAAAAAAAAAAAAAAGGCTCTTGGAAAATAATCAGAGACAGAGAAACTCTTTTATCAACCACACATAATTTTCTTTCCATGTAAACATACGTTGATGCTTGCTGCCTCTCTAAACACATTGTGGCCTGGAAGTATTTTCTGAAGTGTAGAAGTTATGCAATTATGAAAGATTCTGTCCTTTCTGCCTAGCCAATATGTCAAATTTCTGATGTTTCAGGCTAAAAACAATACTGATGCTGGAGATCAGAGCTACGGTTAGGCAAGAAGCCCTCACATGATTACTCCTGCACATGCTGCTTCACTTCAGCACTCTAATGACCAGCATGAGGGATGGAAAGAGAATGGGGAAGTGAAGAGACAAAGATCAGTTTTGAGAAGGCCTAAAGTAACCATGGAGAAAAGTCCTGTACATCTCTCCCCTGGGCTGAAAGTTGTGTTTTGACTTTCTGTGATCTGGAAGTTTTTCCCCTTACATCTGCTGAGGAATGGAAATGAGTGAACGAAAGAAAATGAAGAGACTGCCACCACAATTAGGAGCTCTACCTTTAAAACCAAGTCCTTTTCATCGTAAGGATTGACATACTGTTCTTTTGTTTGCATTATGCAAAAGTGTTATGAAATGCAGAAGCCTGCAATCAAAAGCACCTGAAATGAGCTAATATCATCCCTTCTAGTATAGATGGAGCTTCCCTTTCAACAGCCTGCTAGGCTGAGGAAGAGGATGTTACTCCAGGGAAGTACAAACCCTTTCATTTAAAATATTTAAAGGTAGATTGGAAAAATATGAAAAAATGACCTGGAAGAAACAACCCAGCTCTTGCGTCTGAAGGCGAGATCTGTCCAGTGAACCCAGTACCCTGAGAGCCTAGTAATGCAGTCTGTCAGTACGTCCTCCCATTCTAACCTATCTGCAAAGAGCTCCCCTGTGTTTCATGCCTGAAGCTGTCCTTGAAAGAAGCGATCTCTTCCACATATCCCAACAGCCTGTAAAAACAGATCTCAGTGTTTTCACTCCACCTGTGTTCCTACACAAATGATACTGATTGGCTTTCTCAATAGATCGCTCTCCTTCCACCATTTCATTTTCACAACAGATTTTTGACCCTTCTAGTTTTCTGCACACCTCCCTTTCACTACCCTGGCACTGTCTTTGCTTTGAGTCCCTGCATTTTGTCCTGAGAGATGCAAGATACACAGTGCATTTCACAAGAGCATCAGGAAGAGCGCATCACCACAGAGTTGGCAAAAGCAGCCATGCAAACACTCAAATGACTCAACTCTTTGGCAGCTACAACACACAATGTTCACTTCATGTCCGGGAAGGAGTGTATTCACCTCCAGGTGAATATACAGGGCACTCAGATTTTTGCTGTTGCCATAGTGACTTTTCTGGCAAGACTTTATTGTTGCAGAGAGATACTCAGCTAACACATTAGCAGTGAGCTCTGCTCTCTCTAATCATAAAGGAGCCCTCATCTGCTCTGTAGAGGCATGTATGCTCCTGGGAATGCACTTTATGGCTCTAATTTAAGCTTTGCTTATAATTTGAAAACTGTAATAAAAGCTCGTCATCACAAAATAAGGGTTTCCCCTATTTGCTCTTAGAAGCTATTTTACTTGGAAATAATTAGCATAGAGAGCAGTTGTTTTATTAGGTCTATGGATTTCTGTCAAAATGATGGGCTTTTGGATAACACATGAGCTTGGAAAAACTCCATTATGCCCTCAGGGTAATATAAATCCCTCAGAGGAGATAATGCACCACTGGAAGAACATGGTAATGAGATAAGGCAAACAGAAACAAAAGATAATTACATTAGAGAATATGCCTTAGACAAAATGCACTATTACAACACATCAAAGCCGAGTAAAATGAAGACTGCAAGCTGACTTCCAGTTTATTATTTTTACCTTCCCATAAATCCACTGTCTGGAAAATATCTGTTGTTCTTACTCCGTAGATTTCAGCAGCTTTTAAGAACTGAGAAATTTGTTCCATCTGCTTGAAAGCCATTTTTGATTCAGAGATCTTTGCAATGGGTTCATTTCCCTTTGGATGTAAACTGTTTATTAACTTGCATAACAGCTGAGAGAGAAACACAGAAACAAAATGAGAAAGCAGTCACCAAACTAGGAGAAATTTCTGCACATGAAATGATGCTGTAAAATGCTTTCAATCTAGACAGTTTCTGTTAGGGATGTAATTTCTTCTATCAGGAACAAACAAGAGATTGATAATAGTCAAAGTATATTAGAAAGGTATTAGAGCTTTCATTAACCGATGGCAATAGCCTGACCGAATAAATCCTCATCTGCTAGAAGCAGCAAAGCAATCACTGGTAAGTTATATAACAACTGACAGAGAAGAAACCACATGTTCGAGCCAAAAAAATAAGCAATGTCAATTGAAATATTGTTGAAGTCACTTTGGCAGAGATTCAATGATTAGCGTATTGCTGCAGCTCTGTGCAAACAGCAGCATCTGCCTGCTGTTCAATAAACCAAAAGGATACAATTGTTACAGCTACAGAATGATTCACAAGAAGAAAACACTTCTTCAACACCTGTGCACCTTTTTTGTTTTTCTGTAAATACTATTTCTTAAAGAGAAAATTATACATCTAGTTTTAAAAGCACATCTCATTTAACTGCATGAAGAAAGGCACTGAAGGAATGAGTCATACCCATATATAATGTGCATGACTCATAAGAATCATAAGCACTATACTAATCCCAGTACTCCAGCAGAATAATTATTTTCTGAGATTAGGATTCACAAGCAAAAGGAAATCAGTCAGATGCTAGGACACCTCTTACTGCACTGGCCATGAGCTCTGACCAATTTCGCCGGATGGAGACAGAAATCAAGGACACATAGTAATATATACTAATTCGCTGCACGCATAAAGATACTCAAGTAGAGAGTTAAACAGATAGCTCACCGTTCCATCCATCAGCCAGGTCTGGAAATGCTGCCTTCCAGGAGGAGGGGGTTCGATCTGTTCCTCACACTGCACGATAATCCAGTTCGCCAGCCTAGACTCTAATTCCGGGTCATATTTCTGTTCAATCTTTTCCTGAACTTCTCGGCTTAAGCCATAGCTTGGTCCTCTGTTAGCCATTTCTGGAACCAAAGCAGAACTCGGTTAGCAGGGAGGGTCTTGGTGCGCAGCTGTTAGGTAGACACCGGAAAATTAGAGAATAAAGGAGAGAGCAGCCTGCCCTATACATCAGGCAGTTGAGCAGATGTTCATCAACACTGAAAGTCACTGTATGGCACTGCTTATAGCTGTTCTGCAGAGCAGGGGAGGGATCAGCAGGGGAATATCATTTTCCAAAAGCATACATCAGCCACAACATTTCTTGCTTTTTAAAAAAGAAGAAAAGAAGGAAAACAAATACCCTTCCCTTACCCCAACAACAAAAACAGACGGTGAAAATGAAGATTTAAAGCAAAGTAGGTTTCAGAGAGTGGCTTCTGCTGTGATTGCAGAGAATATAATAGAGTTCTCAGATCGATGTTACAAGCTGCCTGCAAATCCAGAAACGCTTTAAAATTGCCTACCTAACGCTTGCCAGTAAGAAGAAGGTTATACATGGGAGCTCCAGGAATCCTTTTGAGATGCAGTCGGGTTCTTCTTCAGCAGAGATGCAGGGATGGATATCCAGATCAGCAACCTGAAAAGCATCAATGGATTTAAGAGACAGAGGCTGCCACAATGCCCTGCTGCTGCTGCAGCATCGTGGTTTGAAGAACAGTGTATTGATTTGATTTTCCTCACATATGAGGAGGGTCAGAGCAGGGGCGTTGCTAAGAGCCATTAAAGAGGCCTGCCTCCTCCGTTGCAGCTGGGGGATCTGTTTATCTCACCCATCTGCATACTGCTCTCAGGCGTGTTTTCTCAGCCCTGTGCGGTTCACCCCACAGACTCAGCTTTATTCCACCTAGTCTGCATCACCCCAAACTACAGCAAGCATCCCAGCTCCCGATAGTTAGCAATGTAAACAGAGGGGCTTCATCATATGCCCTGTTACACAAAGGTAACGCAAATTACTACGCATTTCATTTATTTTTAAACATGAAGCAGAAGCAGAACCTTTTTTCTCCCTGTTCTGCAGCATGATGCTAGCAGGTTTACAGCACGAAAAGTAATTTCTCCTCCAGCCTGCCCAAGTGCTCAAAAAAGTTACAGGGAAAATAAGATGGAAAGCCAAGGAAGAGAAAGCAGGAAGCAGAGTGTTACCATCACCCTATCTGTGCTATATATTAGGCTACCAGATATCATCCCAAGAAAATAACTTGAGCCACTAAAAACAAGGGAGGATCACTGAAAATTAGTAACTATACTGTAAAGCACAGAGGTTGTGCTTTCTGTGGGTGTGAGTCAGCATGCCTCCAGCAATAGCAAGGGAGCTATGCCCATGTACAGAGGTTTAATTTTGATTGTACCACTGCAGTGGTGGGAGGAAAAGGGAAGAGAGGAAAGAGAAGAGATTCTTCTTCAGATGTCATTTGCACAGGTTTATTCTTTGTTAAACAAAATCACTGCACTCCAGTCTGAGTTGCATCAGCCCTACTAAGAAACAGCTCCCATTTGGCAAATGAATTGCGATCAGCTGGAAATGAAAGGAGGCTGACAAACCCAAGAAGGATTCACAGTCAGCATTACCAGAAAAACTCCTTCTACAGCCTTGCAAAAAAAAATAAAATAAGGAAAAAAATGTACAGCTGCTTGTTTATCTGTCTCATAATGGCCTCCTCATCCATTATTTCCTTATTTTAAAACCACAAATTCTCAGATTTATACTGCTCAGGATGCTCCTGGGCTTGAAAAAACTCGAGATTAAAAATTTAATAGATGACCTGATTTACTGTTGTCTTCCACGAGCATTTCATTTAGTGCTTTCTCTTCTATGCACTGGTAGTTTTAAAACCCCATGAAATATTGGATTACATAACTCAGAGCCTGTTACGTGACAAGGCCATCACTTGAACACTTTCCATTCCTGAGAACACACTGTTAGATGCAAAGCAAATGTGCAGGACCAAGAGTGCAAACCAAGCCTGAAGACTGGAGTAGGAGCAAACTGCAGCTGCAACAGTAAAATACAGCACAAGATGGTTAAGGGCCTTCCACTCTTTAGCCAGTACCACAAAAACAAAAAAAAAAAAACAAAAAAAAACCCCAAAAAATACAACCTACATTTTGTACTATCAGATCTTTTTTATTCTTCTGTTTAAAACAGAGCTCCCAAGACTGCTCATTTGTTTCCGGTCACATCAGGGTGCTGTGTGCTTACTAGCAATGGGATTTCACTAAAGCCATGCCTCCTTGCACAAGCCTCTGACCTTCTTTCTGACTTGGGGGCAGCAGTGGGTAATTTAACTCTCTTGAGCTGAAGAGCAAAGGTCTCTCCCTTCACAGATGTTGGCTCTGCAACGTGTTCTTGAGGGATCATTCCAGGCCAAGAAAGCTGAAAAGCCATCTTGTCCTTCAATATCAATTTTTAATAAGGCTTTGAAACCCAGGAAGCTGCAGAAGATTGGAAAAACACCAGACTCATACCAATATTTTCAAAGCACGGCAATCAAATTGTAAGCCTGCTATTATGTCATCAAGCCACAGAAAAAACAATGGAACGAGTTTGGCTTGAAAAGAGATGGTGATGATACAATGTACTAAGAGCTCTGCAATACAGTGTGCTTAGTGACTGCACACTAATTGATCAGGGAGCTAAACTGATTCTAAAGCAATACGACTCAGTAAAGAAATTAAAGCTAACTGTAATGACTGTAATTGAGAAATTAATTATCAGGTATATTTTCATTGAGTTTGTACAGGAACGTGTTTCCAGGCCTGAGCTATTTAATGTGTTATCAGCAAAAACAAAGGAAGCCCAAACTCTCAGTAACATAAGCTTCACAAGCTTCAATGAACAAACAACAAAAATAATGACAACTCCTTGAAAACAGTCTACCTGGAAGCAGGTAAAATGGTATTTCAACATAGCCATAGTCAGAGACAGGAAACTGCTTTATAGAATGTAGCACTGTTCTGCAGAGCAGCAGATGCTGAAGCACAAAGGGTGATGGAATATCATCAGGTGGGCACAGTGTCTGGGTAAGATACTGTGACCAAAGGACTCCACTGAGGTAAGTGCGGAAGGTGCAGCAGCAATGAGAATCACTGCAGCTGGTTCTGACACTCACTCTCCACAAACAGTGCTGAAAGAATACAGGAAATTCAAAGTTATTCCAGTGACCAGAGGACTGAAAATTGACTCTTTGCAGTAAATAGGAAGTAGGAAGGATTACCTGTTTAGCTCACCAAAACTGCAAGTTAAGAAATGGCAAGCACATGTGGTTTCAAAGCAAAGGAGAATTCAAGTTTCTTTTCTTGGATAAATGCATACAACAGACTGATGGTCAGAATCATGACATGGAAGAAAGGATCAGACTTTCAGCAGCAAAGGTATTACCATTAGAACATTCCACTTACAGTTTCCAATAGATTTTGTCTCATTTATTTTTCCTTGGTAACCCAAGATTGGAACTTAGAACTAAAATAGAATTCTACCGAATGAGTGGAAGATGGAGCTAAAATAGAATTCTTTTTAGCGAATGGAGAGGGAGCTTGAAGACTTCAAATTAAGATCTAATGCCTGTAAATGCTGTGGCTCATCTTATGCTTCAAATAATACAGATAATCACAATATTACAAGTTTCAAAATCTTTGTAAATCTGTGAACAGCTGCCAGCAAAGTAAAGCTGATGTTAATTTCCTCACTACCTGTGTTTAGACCCACAGCCTTCAATGCCTTCTAACTGGAACACAAAGAGAAAAGTACACCTTGCTCTCCCACAAAGCAACCCTTGACCTTTGTTAGATTTGGTGTTTGTCAACTCGCTCCATAGAAAGAGTCTGGTGATTTCAGCCATCCCCAAATACTGTTAAAAGTATGCTGATCAACTCCCATGAGATAAAGCAATCCAGCAATTAGAATAACTGGCAAATCCAGGCTCCGTTCCCCCAGTCACCACAATGCAACAGCAAGTATTTCACAACCAGGTTACAAAATAAAAATAAAAATAAAAAAAATAATAAAAAAAAAGGAAAGTTTCCAAAGTTGTAGAATTTTGAGCACATCCTTTCACAAGGAAACTCTTCTGGAGGTTTGCTGAAGATGCTCCCTATGTATACACCTATGTGCTGATGCTGCGGTTTCTAGAGATGCACAGATGATGCTAAGTATAAAATATGAACTCTGTGCAAGCCCAGGGCATCTGCAGAGAAATGCAAGGACAGAGAAGTATTCTGCAGAGCTGGTCTGTTTATGGCCTTTCTTTGTCGTAAGATACTTGGATACGTTCTACGCATGAAAACAAACAAACAAAAAGCTATTCGAGCACTGCCATCTTTTAACTGCACAAACCAGGTGGCAGAGATATCAGAACCTGGGAGACAACTTGCTTTCCAAGCCGCTTGACAGCAGAAGCAGTCTTAAGTCTCAGGATCTTCTAAATCTTGTTGAGGATTTACAAACTCCCTGGAAGAAAATCAACATGTATATTTCATCAGATAACCTTTTTATCTGTCACCAGCAAAACCAATACCTTCTAAGAGCTACTGTGGCTTGAAAATCACCTTGTCATATGCATTCACTGAAAGAACAGAGAAGTATCATCTTTATTTTAATGTAACATTGGTTAAAACAGAGAGCAAGACATATCCAAAAATAAAAAAGAAAATAAAAAATCCCTCAAATACATATTCTCTTATTATTATTAGAGACTTCACTTTGCTGTTAGGGACTTCAAGAATTAGCATCTGAGGAGGAGCACATCCTGCCACATGTTCTGCCCTGCAAACCTGCTAAGTACAGAAGCAATGCAAAGGATCCCAAGTCTCCCAGGGACTGCTCTCTCAGGAAGAAGGCATGGGTGACCCATGCACATCCCTTCAGCCCTCAGGCGTGCTGCTCCCAGCATGTTTGCCCAGACACAGCACCTGCTCCCAACCAACAGTCAGAGCCGACCTTTTCACATGTCCATGTGGGAGGCAACCAGACAACTTGGTGCCAAGAAAGCCAATGGCATCCTGGCTTGTATCAGGAGTGGTGTGGTGAGCAGTACTAAGGAAGTAATCCAGCCCCTGTACTCAGCACTGGTGATGCCTCACCTCAAGTACTGTGTTCAGTTCTGAGCACCTCAGTACAGAAAGGACTCCAAGGTACTGGAGCAGGTCCAGAGAAGGGCAACAGGGCTTGGAGAATATGCCCCATGAGGAGCAACTGAAGGAACTGGGACTGTTTAGTCTGGAGAAAAGGAAGATGAGGGAAGACCTTATTGCTCTCCTCCAATACCTGAAAGGTGTTTACAACAAGAGTGGGGTTGGTCTCTTCTCACTGGTGAAAGGACGAGGGGAAATGGCCTCAAGTTGTGCCAGCGTAAATTTAGGTTGGATATCGGGAAAACCTTCTTTACAGAAAGGATTGTTAAGCATGGGAACAGGCTCCCCAGGGAAGTGGCTGAGTCGCCATCCCTGGATGTGTTCAAAAACCTTTTGGATGTGGTGCTCAGGGACATGATTTAGCAGAGGGTTGTTAGGGTAGTATGGTTAGGTTGTGGTTGGACTTGGTGATCTCTATGGGCTTTCCCAACCTGAGCAATTTATGATTCTATAAATTCTATAAATACATACCAAATATCCTGCAGCAACAAAGTCAATCTAAACTGGGTGAACTGACCTATGAGGTCATAAAGCTTTAACATAATTGTTTACTTTTTTTTTTTTTTTTAAATAAATAATTCTGAAGTGAAAGGCAGACCTCTTTCTAACAGGACAACTGAGTAATACTTAACAATGAATTTCACATCTTAGTATTTCCCAAGGCAGTTTTCCTTCTGCTCTTGCACTTCTTCAGAAAATGCTTTAACCGTGTACTGCAGTACAACTAGAGCACTAAAAACATGAGAGCAGCAAGCACATGACTAGTTGAAAGTTTCTTCTCTATAGCATATTTTTACTTGATATGAAAAGCAGTGTACCGTAAATCATTTTGTTCCATCGAGTAAGCATGTCCAAGGGAAAGCATGTAATAAAAATTAACATAAGAAAGAAGCAGCAGGAGGCAGTTCCTCTCAGGCCTGTCCAGCTAGGATGTTTTTGTACTCAGTGTTTGTGCAAGAGAAAATAAACTGCCTACACTGAAGCTGTATGGTACACTTCATACCATGGAACTCAACCGAGAAAGAAAAAAAGGCTGCTGCATGTACTACAAAGCCAAACAACAGAAGGTGCAGAACAACTGGAATATAAGACAGGATAAAAATTGATGTATAAAAAGTTACATTAGCACAGCTCACTATTCAGAGGCTAAGAGTGCTTGCTTGATAGGAAACCAGTTTAATATGCTTTATAGACTTTTTCAGTGCATTATGGTCTAGTGCAGAGCTTAATCACACACATATGCAAAAGAATCCACCATTTCCCTCCCTTCAGAAAGGAGAATCATCTGTGTTTCACAATTCAAGTAGTTCCACAGATTTTTGCAGCTAATTGGAAACAAAAACATCATTAAGGACAGAGACAACTGAAGTCAGTGGTTAATGCTTCTGTTTCTTTTGGTGACGTCTAGCACTTGATTCTTTGATATTATATGGTAATCAAGCTTCTGTGACTTGCTATATAGGCTTTTTGTTACTTACTCACGAAATTTGATTCCTTGGCAGGAGTTAACGATCTGTATGTTAAGATGTTATGCACTGAAGAAAAATACCCCAGGTAGTTTGATCAAAATCAACAAGAGAATATGCTGAGTTGCTCTGTTTGTGTCCAGAGCTTCCACGTTCCACATGGCAGCAGCATCACTCCCCACATCTGTACTACACTTAGTGACAGATGAGCCCAGAAGTCATTTTCAGACCTGCCAAAAGTGAAGGATAATGAAGATGCTTACTAACAACTTAAATTACGAGTACTTAGCAAAAATAACTAAGGATAGATGAAGGTACTCAGAAAAAAACAATCCTCCAAGAGCCACAAGACAGTAATGCTTATACTGGTAAATCAGAAAACACAAAATACTGTTCAAATGTGCATGTTACGTATTCATAAAATACACTTTATACTTGGCAGCAAATTATATGTATGCAAAAAACAAACAGAGGCTAACAATTCATTACAAAAAAATTCTAATAATTTATACCTCTTTCCAAACATGTGGTACCCTAGTTTAATATAATATTTCCAAAGAAGTTTATTTATACTTGTCTTTTTGCTTATTATACTGACACAACTAACACAGAAAACGATTCATTATCCAGAGACCTACAAGGAAAAGATGAAGGAGATGCCACATGCAGTAATTCTGGGGACAAATATAGTATAGAAAATAAACTGACAACACTCTAACATACAAATATCATACAAATATTTCGTTACTCAAGATTGTCAAGATTTCCTGAGAGGTCAAGAGCTGGCCATCAGTACGATGTAAATCTCTGGTTTCAGCATTGGGAAAGCTGTGCCATAATGTTGTTTTCCTTCAGACTTTCTGTTACTGCAATTAGCAGCACAGCTTTGACAACATCAGCATGGTAACAGAGAACGTGTTGGAGCCTATTGGTTATCATCTATCCCCTCTTCCTGGCATCTGAACACAAGCTGGCAGTGATCAAAATGCTGGCAGTTTCCAGCATGAACACAAGGAAAATGCTGTGCCTGCAATGAGAACAGAGCTACAGTGGTAAAGTTAGAGGAAAAAACATCTGCCTACAAAAAGTCTGCCTCTTCATATTTACAGGAATACATACTGAGTTAATAAAGTGGCAAGGGAGAACAGAGAGGGACACTAGTATTCACTGAATCTCAATGCACTGTCTGGAATAATATCTCTACTAAGGAAGTACAACCTGTTTTTGCACTTACACCGTATATACCAAGTGGGGGCTGTAACTGTAATGTAAATGCTATCACTAACCGCCATTCAGCAAGGAGAGAAGTAAGGAAAACAGGCAGATCTACCAAACAACTAGCACAGAAATACCCCTATCATGACTCTTTGGTAATGCTGACATTAAGGCAACTGATGCTGCAGTTTTGTATCCTCAACAACTATGCTTACCTGCCTTCTCTCACCTGAACGCTGTTACAACAGTGGGGAGACAAAAACCCACTCTCCAAACCACTCACACAACTGTTCCCCTGACATCTGTTTTCCACTATCTTGCTCAAAGGCACTGCAACAAGACGATCTTACCCATGAAATATGAATAACTAAATAAACACTGTGGTGAAGCTTTGGAAGAATACAGTGTAATTCTTATGAGAGAGTTACACAGCTCCAGATTATGCACACATTTAAACATATTTCCCTGTCTGAACTGCTACAGTTGAACTGAATGTTTATAGGCATGAGCCTCAATTAAAAACCAAACAAGAAAAAAAAGAAACCTAAAATGCATCTATCGTGATTGCTAATTTTAAGCCTTAATTGATATTAACTATTCCTGAATTCCTGCACTGCACCTTTTTCAACTTTTTCTTAGGAGGCAAAGCAATCCAAAAGATGTGACAAAATACCTTTAAAAATTATCATGGGTAATCTACGAGCAGAAAGTTTTTAATTAACTTAATTGTGATTTCCCTATGTCTTTATAACTCACAAAATTTTTCAGGTTTTATTATGTGCAAGTGTCCCATGGCTACACATAGACAGTAAGTGTTCAACAATACATAAACACATTGAGCCTTCAGGAATGGAATGGGCTGAGCAATCTGCATATGTTGTCTTTGTTCATTTTCCTCAAAAGTATGTCTTCAAGAGGTTGTAAAGCTTCAAAACTCAAGGAAGATGTGAAACTGCTGACTTAACACCAAGATGATATATTATTCCCTTAGCAGTAGTTCCATAAATTATTTTTTATGAAAGGCATGAAGTGATTAAGTACTTCTGATGAGCATATATAAAAGGGTTCTACCTGTACTTTAAGGCTGTATGTCCATAAGCTCTTAAAGCCTCTGCAACAGGAGTGGGGGCATTCATCTTTGTTAAGTTTTGTCTTCATATATTATAAGGAAATCCCAAATTAACTTACTCCTTATTCATCACCCCAAGCACACCATCAGGGAGTGCCTTTCATTTTAGAATGTAAATACTGCTTAAGAATACTACCATCAGTGATGAAGAGTCTGTTTACTTCCTATTGTTCACTATTTCTAATATCAGTAATTTCAGTAAACGCTTAAATTGTGCACTGCCTTGCACAGTTGGATGAAATACAACATTATAGGAAAACAACTGTACTGAAACAGCATCAAAAACATGAGAGATTGAACTTGTACTGTACAAGGTCAACAGTAACAAAACTGAATGAGCATTTCAGTACAAAAGAGTAGGAAGCTCATGAAAAAAAAAGATTTAAGAGGTAAAGCAGAGGTTCTATACCCAGCAGCAGCACTTCCTTACATTTTGGTCTATCAGTGCAAATGCAGCATTAAAAAAAAGTATATCTATATTTACAAAACAGAGGTCAGGAAACAGCAGATAGAGCTCTGTTCCTACTGTGATAGTCACGCCACTAGAATAATCTCAGTGAGAACAGGGTTTCTGCTACTGATGGAAAAGAGTCAGGTGTAGGCTTCATCTATTCGTGCTACTCTGCAGATTATGTTAGCGTTGCCAACTTGTCAATTAAATCATCAACGGTATTCACAAGAAGTTTTGTGTCTTCCTTCTCGCTCATTCGATGTTGGCCGGCTTTGCGGAGGATGACATCCACATCTTTGCTCAGAACACGATCAGCAACCTGCATAGAGATCTGCCAAGGGACGTCCCCATCCTTCATGCCGTGAATAAGACGGATGGGACACATTATAGGGATAGGGCTATTGAGCA